TATTATTATTATTATTAATGTATATGAATATTTTGTTTGAATGTATGTCTGTGGGCCATGTGTGTGCTGGGTAACCTTGGAGACCATAAGAGGTTGGATCCCCCGGAACTGGAGTTACAGATGGGTGAAAGCTGCCATGTGGGTGCTGGGAATAGAACTTGGGTCATCTGGAAGAGCAGTCAGTGCTCTTAACCACTGATCCATCTCTCCAGCCTCTCCTTGGTATTTTAGTCAGTTCTAGTTAGTAAAGAAAATTTCTGACTATGAAGAAAAAAGTAACTGGAAATGACAGCCTTTAGTCTGGCAAGACCACCAGTTTCAGTGAATTATGTACACATATTAGAATGAAATAGAACCAGTCCTGATTAGTAGTCTAACTTTTAAATATAAAGATCTGTGGCATCGTGCCTCATTATATACCTCATTATATAGGCTAATTAATTCATGCATATTGCTTCAGACATGGCAACATATGATAGTTACAATTTGGTGATCATTATTTTTAAAAATTATTTTATTATTTTAAAGTGTGTGTGGTCTGTTTATACTTGAATGCCAGTGCCAGTGGTGGTCAGAGGCTTTGGAAGTCCCTGAACTGGAGTTATAGGCAGTTGTGAGCTGCCTGATATATTCTGAGAACAGAACTCAGATCCTCTGAAAGAGCAATGTGTGCTCTTAGTTGCTAAGCCATCTCACCAGCCTTATCCGGTCTTAAACTCCTGATCCTCTTGTCTCAGCTTCTAGTGCTGAGATTACTGGTGGGCGTCACCATGTTTATGATGGAGGTGGACCCCAGCGAACCCCAGACAAGCAAGATCAGTGCAGTTGCTAAGGTCCATACACGAATGAGTTTGAGTTAATGAGATATGACAGGTTGTCTGCTGGGAGGTTCCTGGGAACGACTTTCCCCACTTCTAAGTAGTCACTAGATAGTGAGGGCTTCTCTTCATCTTTGCATTATGGACCTGGATGTATAGCCCAATCTTCAGACCCGAAAGCTCTTGTGCTAGCCAGAGATGGTGCCCACCTCAGAGGACAAAACAAAGTGGATCATTGAGAAGACCAGCAACAACACCTAGAGCCAACTGTTGGCTTCCCCATGGTCTGAAACAACATATTTCCTAATTGATTAACTCAACTTAAATGGAATTTTTCTGTTATTTGTAGTAAAAAAGCATCCTGATAGTAATTAAAAATTTCATCCCAAAATGTTCACTTAAGAAAATTATTTCATTAAATGACAACCCCATCCACCTATCTTTAGGACCCATTATTTCACTTTCTTTATTAAAATCTATGAGGAAGACCTTCAACTTGGAGGAGATGACTGAGAGACAATCTGATCCTATCGCTGTTGAGATTTTCTGGTTAGCTGGGAGGATGATGATGATATTAAAACACCAGCAAGGAAGTCAGAATGAGGCTTTAGCTCAGAGTGCAGAGTGTCAAGAAGGCACACTTTATAAAATTGTCAAGTTACTCTTCTATATCTTTAGTAATTTTTCATTAAATTTTATTTTTGTGTGTGTATGTAAGCACATATGAGCATATGCGTGTGTGTGTGTGTTGAGCATATGTGTGTGTGTGTGTTGAGCATATGCGTGTGTGTGTGTGTGTGTACATGCAACATGCAGGAGTCAGTCCCTTCCTTTTGCCATGTGGGGCCCTGGGGTAAAACTAATGTTGTCAGTCCTGGTGGCTGGCACTTTCACCTTTGGCCCTTCATTAAGTTTTGACTTAGAAGTTCAAGCAAGCAGAACACCAGAAAAGATGAATCATTCTGTTAGGGGAAAAGCCAAAGTCTGGGGAGGGATATAGATGAGTAAAGTAATATGAGGAACAATTGTATCTTTGTCATTGTTCAACTACTATAAAGAGACACTATGACCAAGGCAATTCTTCTATGAGAAAGCATTTAACTGGGGTTTGCTTATAATTTTAGAGGCTTGGTTCATTGTCATCATAGAAGAAAGCAAGATGGTAGCAGAGATGGTACTGGAGAAGCAGCTGAGGGTTATATCTTGATCAACAAGCAGAGAGAGACGAGAGAGAGAGAGAGAGAGAGAGAGAGAGAAAGGAGAGAGGAGAGAAAAAGAGAGAGAGTGAGCCTGAGACCAGCATGAGCTGTTGAAACCTTAAAGCCCACCCCCAGTGACATACAACAGGGCTATACGTACTCCAACGAGGCTTTATCTCTTAATCCTTCTAATCCTTTTAAATAGTTCCACTCCTTGGTGACTAAGCATTCAAATATATAAGCATATGGTGGTCATTCTTATCCAACCACTCCATTTTGATATTCTTAAAAAAGAGTTTCAAAATTTTAGTCTGGCAATGGTGGTGCATGCCTTTAATTGAGACTCAGACGCAGGAGGCAGAAGCAGGTGGATCTTTGTGAGTTTGAACCCTGCCTGGTCTACAGAGCTAGTTCCAGGACAGCCAGGGCAACACAAACCCTCTCTTGAAAAACTGGAAAAAAAGAGTAAAAAGAGAAAAAACTTTGTGTGTATGTTCATATGACTGCATGTGCACACAGTGCAGGTGTATGAGGAGGCCAGAGGCATGTTGGAGTTTCAGGTGGTAGTGAGCCACCTGATTGGGGTGATCTTACCTGCTGAAACATCTCTGCAGCACCACTTTTAATTTTTTCCATGTGTTTTTTATATATATGTAAACATATATGTAAATAAATTCAATAAACCATAAATTCACAGTAGAATGTCTTCCATATATAGCACATAATTTAGATAATTTTTTTCTAATAGATTCCTCTGTGGTGTCTTAAATTCTATAGGTGATTGCCATGCACAACACAGCAGAGGTAAAAGTCAACAAATCCAGTGATTTTTAGAGAGATCTCAGCCCCTGTTGGTACTACCAATTGTTATGTGAAAGGTTTGAGTTGTAAGTAACTTTTGCTTCCGTTATTTATCTATAAATATGTGTCAAGCACCAGACTGAGGTTATAGGTACAAAATGTCTAAGATTCAGTCTCTGATTGCCAGACTTGGTGGTATGTGCCTATAGTTGCAGCAGTTTGGGGGGCTGAGTTGCAATGGTTAATTGTGTCTGTTCTTCAGTCTTATCAACAACATAACAAGATTCCACCCAAAAATAAAAATAAAAAGGAAAAAAGAAAAAGAATTGAACTTTGTTTACAAGCATAGACACAAGTAACTATAATGAAGGGTGTTAACAATTGTGTAACTGTAACGAGAATCAGTACAGGTTTTAACTGCCATGTGTAGGTAGGCGAAGAAACCTGTTCATTTACTTAGCATAGATATTATCTCTTGTTATTCTCTTAGGGAGTCGTTGTGTTTATTTATAACACATTTTAGCTATGTAGGATGTGAAAACTGTGATCTGAGAAAGACTAGTTTGAGAGATATGTAAATATGATCACTCCCTTTATTACACCAAATAAAAACAACATTCTTTAACCCTTAGACAATTACGGTTAGAACTAGATCAAGGCAGTGTGAGGCTTTAATTTATACCAAGTGCAAAAATAATTCTGCATTGTAACCAAGATTCACTATGTATTTGTAAAGAAATCTATAGATTTTGTAGTCGGGAAAGCTCTTAATTGCATATATGTAAGACTACATTAAGTTGATTGGTTAGGTAAAACAGGATAGGAAACAAAGAGGGAAGATAGAGAACTTCCTATCAGCCGGACATGGGCTCAGGTGAAGTTAAAAATCTTTTGTACTTATTACCTGGGCATAGTGGCATATAACTTTAGTTCCAATGCTCAGGAGATAAAGGGAGGTGAATTCTCTGTGAGTTTGAGGCCAGCCTATTTTACATAATGAGTCCCACGTGTATGGAGGTCACAACAGCTTTTTGGAGTAAGTTATCTCCTTCCACGTTTAGATTGGGGATTGAACTCAGGTCATCACTTGGTAGCAAGTGCCTTTACCCACTGAGCCAATTCACCAGCTCCTCAGACTCTTTTATGAAATAAGGTCTTGCTATAAAGACCAGGATGGACTTAATGTGTGGTCCTTCTAATTCAGTCTTCTTTGTGCTTGGATTGTGCTGATGTGCCTGACGAGGCTTTCATCTGGATGGCTCCTGCCCAAACTTCCCTCAGTGATGAACTGCAAGTCAAACAAACCCTTTTCTCCCCAGCTTGCTTTTGGCCATGGTGTTTCACGACAGCAACAGTAACCCTAAGTAAGACAAAGGGGTTGGATCCTTGGAACTGGAGTTATGGATGGTTGTGAGCCACCAGGTGGGTGATTGATGGGAATTGAACCCTGGTCACCTGGAAGAGTAGTAAGGTGCTCTTGACCACTGAGCCATCTCCCCAGCCCCAAATTATTTTCTTGAAGCTCCAGCTGGCCTCTCAGTTTTGATAGTTTATGAGATACAAATAAAAATAAGGCAGAAAACTGTTATAGCAATGATTAGCAAGCTTCCTTGTTGGTGTCACCAGTTAACATCAAGCTATTAAAGTATTCTCTGCAGCAAGAATAATTATACTTATTTATCAGTTCTGAATGACTGAAAAAATACAGCTTACCCATGTTTTAAGCCGTTTGGTTTGATTTATTACACTTTGAGGAGCTACAAGGATAGTTGTTTTCTGTGTTCTCTCACTGGATGTAAAAGGAAAAAAATTCAAAGGGTTTAAAGCAAGTGCATGTCATCATAACTTGAAAATTTAAAGCGTGGAGAGCAGGAAGAAAGCTCATAACACCCAGGCATGGTCTGTCGTGCGTCCTGGAAATAATCTGGAGGCATATGCATAGAAGCTACTAGAGGAGGTTGGTAACAGCTGGACATTCCTAGAATTGATAGCCATATACAGCAGATCTTAAAAAGCAGGAGAGAATTCAGTTTATCCCAGAGATTGTCTCAGTCGGGGGTGTTGCCAGGCTACTGGAGGAGCCAATCCCAGACACCAACAGGGAGCCACAGCCAAGCTCATGAGCCGGAGAGATGCCTCAGCTTTAAGAGCATACACTGCGGACCGAGCAACCATAGTGACAGGAGCCGAAGCAGCAGCTCAGGTTGTCCCCCTTTCCCCTCCCCCTTCCCTTTTCCGGCTGACTTTCCGGGCCCTGCATTTCACAGTCCCGGTCCTGCCATGTCCCAGAAACAAGAAGAGAACCCTGCGGAAGAGACTGGCGAGGAGAAGCAGGACACACAGGAGAAAGAAGGTGTTCTCCCCGAGAGAGCTGAGGAGGCCAAGCTAAAGACCAAATACCCAAGCCTAGGACAAAAGCCTGGGGGCTCCGACTTCCTCATGAAGAGACTCCAGAAAGGGCAAAAGTACTTTGACTCAGGAGACTACAACATGGCCAAAGCGAAGATGAAGAACAAACAGCTGCCGAGCGCAGGGCCAGACAAGAACCTGGTGACCGGCGACCACATCCCCACCCCACAGGACCTGCCCCAGAGAAAGTCCTCGCTCGTCACCAGCAAGCTTGCGGGGTAACCTGGGCCCCTCTCTTCCCCTTCCTCACCCACTGGACTTCTATATATTATAGGCAGGGAATGGACACCTAGTCAGAGCTCAGCTTGCCATCCAGGGAAGACATTCTGCTGGAGGCTTAGGTTGAAGAGGGATTCTGAGTTCATTTCTTTGGGTAAATTGAAACTTCTACACCCTTACTGTAGCCCAGTAGAGACCCAGAAGTAGGAAAGACTAGGACCGGATAGCACTGCAGCTGTTCCTGTGCTGAGAAGCGTGGAAGATGGGAGTTCTCCTTTTGGAGGAGCAAGCCCCTCGGGCAGGCTGAGTCTGGGAGCAGTGTGGCAGGTTCAGTGTCCCAAGGCTGCACTGACGTATTGGGAAAGGAGACGCTCTCTGTGCTTCTAAGTGTGTCGTCCCTTAGGCCTCTGTGCTTTGTGTTCCCATTGTGGGTGTTTAGGGAACCTTCAAAGAGGAGAAGGGATTTGCTTGCCTAAAACCACAGTGCCCACCTAACCTCTCTGTTGTGTCCCTCCAACAATTGCCCTGCTTCTCAAGGAGTGGAAAGCTTGATCTTTTTCTCTTTCAGCACGTAGCTTTGGAGCGTATGCTGGGAGAGTGGGAAGAGCGTAGGGTCGGGTCGGAACACCCGGCTCCAGTGCTGCTCGTGCCCAGCAGCACTGGCGTATGAGCTTGGCTGGGTCATGTGGCCTCTGAGTCTGTTCCTCATTTCTGCAGAGCAGGAACCGTGTAGGCTAATTCTGACTAAAATCCTACACCTGCCCTAACTGCCGTTCATCTTAAAACCAACCGAAGTAGGCCCTTGCTAAGCCTCAGCTCTGTAAAGCTAGAAGTCCAGGGGAACAGGAGGGGTTCTATATGGGAAGAGAGAAAGTTTGAGATTTAAGGGCCACACCTTCAGACCCTTCTTGAGGGAGGAGGGGAGAGAGAGTAAGTCTGAAGAAGCCAGCCCTGGAAGTGTTTTGACTCTCCCATTTTCCTGGTCTACAGTTGACCCTAGCTGCTGCAAACCGCTCTGGCAGCAGACTGGATGGGCCTGAGGAAACATTCATGCTTCAGGTGGAATCCTATGCTAGCTGCATGTTAGGCATGGAGGAAGAAGGGATGAACGGAGCTGGCCCCGAGGAGTTAGTGCTCCTGCCAGCTGGAGCATCTGGGCCTTAGCAGTTGATTCACTGGTGGAGGCGGAGAGTGGGGAGGGCGACAGCAGCCTGCCTTGCTGTGTCATCACTAGTTTGGCCTGGATCTTACTGAGTGCCACCTGCTCGGTAACAGCAGAGAGGACCTGAGTGAGAACTGCTCAAAAGAGCAGGATGATGCAGTCTGTCTCCCTTCACAGATTCCGGTGTGCCCGTAGAAGGTCTGACGAGTTTGTCGCTGTGTGTGTCGGGAAAGGGTCTAAACATCTCCCTGGCCCCCAAACTCCTTGACTCTCATTGTATTTGTATATAATTTTTGTGTTTTTTGCTCCATTTTCTCATGCTGTCATCCTTAATCTAAAGTCCATGTGGGAAGGGGACAATTCTGAACATCACTGTATAGTTTCTTCAATGTCCCAGCCATGTTGTACATAGATATGTCATGTTATTATATATATATAAATACATATATAATTTTGTAAAAAAAAAAAAGAGCATACACTGCTTGCTCTGCCAGGGGATTCAAGTTCATCTCCTAGTACCCATGCTGGGTGACTTAAACCACCTGTAACTCCAGCTCCAGGTTATTTGAATTTTATTTTAGATTTATTTTATTATTTTGTGGGTTATGAGTGTTTGCATGTGTGTTGGCGGACTGTATGCATGTCTGATGTCCACTGAGGCCAGAAGAGTGAGTCTCCTGGGATTGGAGGAATTAACAACTTTGAGCAGCGGTGTGGGTGCTGGGAATTGAACTCCAGTCCTTTGAAAGAGCAACAAGTACTCTTAGCCACTGAGCCAACTCTTCAGTCCAATTTTATTTTTGTAAAATTACATGTGTGTATGAGTGCAGGTACCTGAGAAGGTCTGAAGCATGGCATCTCCTTGGCACTGAAATTACATCTGGTTGTGAGCCACTGGATGCGGATGCTAGGAATTGAACTCAGACCTTCTTAACCACAGAGTCATCTCTCCAACTCCTAAATATGTTTTTATTGATAGCATGGTTAGATATTTAAGTTCAGAGACCTTGTCATTCAGATATTGGTAGCATGGACAAACTCTGTAGGCCTAGAACATATTATATTAATACTTAGGTTGAATGAGTTCTCAATAGTGCAATATTGGTAGGTGTCAGAATAGAGACTAGGTGCTTAAGGACTCTCTAACAGGCCTGAGAATGTCAAATGTGACTTTAGCAGATTTTGCCTTCATCCCTTCCCTCTCCCTTGCTGAATGGTTGGATTAGGTACCTAAAGCTAGCACCAAGTCTATTCCGCTTCTTTCTGCCTGACTTAAACTCCAAGGCCCAGCAATCAGAACTGGTTACTTGGCTACACTGACTCATGCATCCAATGAGGACTTAGCGACTCACCCTAGCCTGTGCTTTCTGCGCTTCCCCTTTCTCCTTACACCCACTCCTGCAGAGACAGCTGCTACTGTCCAGAGGACACCACGCTCCCTCTCCATCATGCCAGGGTAATGAATCTCCTTTTTGCTGAGAATTTGGTGTCTGTGTGTGTTCTGCATCGACTCAGAGGCCCCTTCAGGTGCAATCATCAGTGTGAATAAAACTTCTTTTTCTTTAAAATTAAAAATAAAGCATTTGAACAAATAGATAGAAATTTTATAGACGAATGCTATAAACCGGATTTTTTCTCTGACTGTGATTTAAATATATATACTTTTATAAAATCTTTGAGGCTATTCTATAATGTTTTGATTATATCCACCCTGCTCCAGATCTTTCTAGATTCACTTTCCATCTCTCCAACCCCATCTCCCAACACATTCTCCATCTTATAAAAAATGACATTTGGCATTTGCTTTAATATATCTAATATATATATATATATATTTAAAAAAGCAAAACAAAACTCTTGTCTCTTTCTCCCCTTCTTTTCTCCACCCCCTACACCTCCATGTTTTCTCAGTCTGCAGAACCATCTTGTCAGTCCCTTTTCTATTTACTATTACACACACACACACACACACACACACACGCGCGAAGTGACATTGTCGTCTTGAATGGAAAACACATTCATGAGATTCAAACACCCCAAATTGTAAGGTCTTAAATGGAAAGGTGCCTCCACTCCTACTCTCACGCTTTTCATTGTTCCCAATAAGCAACATCTTTTTTTGTTTGTTTGTTTGTTTTTGTTGTTTCAAGACGGGGTTTCTCAGTGTATCCCTAGCTACTCTGGAACTCACTCTGTAGACCAGGCCGGCAGCAAATGCAAGAGATCCGCCTGTCTCTGCCTCCCGAGTGCTGGGATTAAAGTGTTTTTTGTTTGTTTGTTTTCCTTTCTCTCTACTCGTTTCAAAGACTGTTTAAAACGGATACTATCAGGGCATGGTGGCGCACACCTTTTAATTCCAGCACTCTGGGTGCAGAGGCAGGTGGATCTCTGTGAGTTCCAGGCCAGTCTAGACGCCATAGTGAGACAATCTCAACACCTCCTTCGCCCTCACCCCCTAAATAAAGATACAAAAGGCAGTGGACGTTTAAAGAGAAGCATAGACCATCCTATTAATGTTTTTCCTAGGCGCTTGTATCAAAATAATGAAATAAACTAAACGTTTAACACAGTTTCTCCCACGCCCTCGGGGACGCCCACTATTCTCAGTTGCGGCTTGTAAACCGGAAGCGCCTTTGCGTGGGCAAAGATGAACCGGAAATGCTGAGCGGCGACCCGGAGCCCGTGGTCTCTGCTGAGGTAACCGGAACACCAGGTAGCTGTTGGGCCATTTAGGAGGCGACGCTGATATTTTCACCTTGGGTTCTTAGAAAGGTTGCCCTGGACATCGGGCGTTCCGCCGAATCCTCGCGCCGACTTTCCGGTCGTCAGCCTCGAGTCTCTGTCAGGTGTGTCTAGAACCTTCCGCCGCCAGCCGCCGCCCGCGGGTCTGCTGGTCGGCGCTGACACCTTGTGTGTAGTGAGACGCGTGTGCTGTGTGCTTTAGGGTTTTACTTTTTACTACTTACCTTTTGGATACAACGTTGAATGTTGGCCATTCTTGTGAAAAAGTTTTAAAGAAGTCGGCTGCTCAGAGTTTTGTCACATTTTAATAAGTCAGTGAATTGGCGGGATTTACGGAATAGTCCAAGCATAGGGCAAAAATTCTAACTCTCCAAATTATGTAAATATGATTGCCTTGGAAATATCCAAGGAAATTGTTAGGTTTTTTTTTCTTTATTCTTCTAGTAATTTTCTAAAATTTGGGTTTTTAATCCCTAAGATGCCGAATTGAATTATGGGTCTAAATTATTCCTGCATTGTCTTGCTCTTCTACCTCACGTTGAATTTTAGAAAAAAAAAAAAACCTGAGTGTGAACTGTGGAAGAATTTCTGGGAACCGCATAGTTGCTGCCTTTCATTTGGGGCCTGTGGAATCCATCGAGAGCCGTCCATTTGGAAGAAGAATTGGACTTTGCTAATCTCCGGTCATTTTTCTCTTTTGCCTTAGTTGTGACAAGTGTCTATGACTATCTGTTTTGTACCTCAAGAGGCAAAAGAAACACGAGCCTCAAAATCAGCAAACTCTGTGTGGTGGAACACGCTCTCTAGTCTTTTTCAGTTCTTTGGCCGGCTTGTGTACTGACAACACTCGTCAGTTAATGGGTTGGCCTAAGGTGGTTAATGGGTTATGGGGAAAAAAAATCAGATTTATACTTTGATAACATATGAAGTGTGTTTACGTGACTTGAGAATGTTTAATGGCTGAGTCGCTTTTAAATCATAGTGCCCACTAGGCGGCAGCATAGTGTTTTCAGTGTCGACTATCTGTCCTAAACCCACTGATGCTGTTGATCTGACAGTAGTGAATTTCATATGCTGACAGCTTCTCCCGTGCCATGACCTGACCAAATGATTCATGCAGATACTGCAACCATAAAGTGTTCTAGGACATTGCTGTTTGTTTTTTTATTTTCCTTATACCACATCCAAAATGCACGAACACTAGATACTTTTCTATTTTATTTTTTTCTTATATAATTTTATTTAATTTATTTTTTATTTTATTTTATTTTATTTATTTATTTTTTTATTGAAAAAAAATTTTCCACCTCCTCCC